GGTCTCAAGTTGCGGTGGGGGAAGTCCAGGTTGGATATCAGGAAAAACTATTTCACTAGGAGGGTGGTGAAACACTGGAATGCGTTACCTAGGGAGGTGGTGGAGTCTCCTTCCTTGGAGGTTTTTAAGGCCCGGCTTGACAAAGCCCTGGCTGGGATGATTTAGCTGGGAATTGGTCCTGCTTTGAGCAGGGGGTTGGACTAGATGACCTCTTGAGGTCCCTTCCAACTCTGATATTCTATGATTCTATGATTAATCTGGAGGATGGCGTGGACTGCACCCTCAGCAAATTTGCAGATGACACTAAACTGGGAGGAGATGTAGATATGCTGGAGGGTAGGGACAGGATACAGAGGGACCTAGACAAATTAGAGGATTGGGCCAAAAGAAACCTGATGAGGTTCAACAAGGACAAGTGCAGAGTCCTGCACTTAGGACAGAAGAATCCCATGCCCTGCTACAGATTGTTTAGTTTGCAGAAGAGAAGAATGAGGGGGGATTTGAGAGCTGCTTTCAACTCCTGAAAGGGGGTTCCAAAGAGGATGGATCTAGACTGTTCTCAGTGGTACCTGATGACAGAACAAGGAGCAATGGTCTCAAGTTGCAGTGGGGGAGGTTTAGGTTGGATATTAGGAAAAACTTTTTCACTAGGAGGGTGGTGAAGCACTGGAATGGGTTAACTAGGGAGGTGGTGGAATCTCCTTCCTTAGAGGTTTTTAAGATCAGGCTTGACAAAGCTCTGGCTGGGATGATTTAGTTGGAGTTGGTCCTGTTTTGAGCAGGGGGTTGGACTAGATGACCTCCTGAGGTCCCTTCCAACCCTGATATTCTATGATTAAAACACATGGAACAGGACCCTTACTTTGAGATGTTAGCTCCTTTCCCATGGGGAAGAAATAGCATCCCACTTCAGCAAGCTTCTGAAGTGAACACTCACTAAGAGACACCCATCAGTCAAACGAGTACTTTGGAATGTCTAACATACTTGTTAAGATTCCAGCAGAAATTGGTCCCACGATGCCCATCAACAGGATGCTTACAGACATGAACCTACCATATTTGTGATGTCTGAGGGTGAAGAGCGCCAGTAATCCCGCAGGAATGTGGAAAGAGAGAGAGGACACCAGCGCCCACAGGAATACACCATACCACATTTCTGCAAGGCAAGGAGAAAGGAGGTTGACGCAGACAGGACACTTCACTGTCTACCTGAACACAAGAGCAGCTACCAAAGGCTCCTATCAGAATTGGGCTCCCACTGTGCTAGGTGCTGTACAAACACGCAGGATGACAAAGTTCCTGCTCTAAAGAGTTTAAGAGGAAACAAGATATAGACCATGTACCCTAAGGGTGTCCATGATGTAAGGGACCAAGCTGTGACCTCACTACGGGCAGCTACAGAAGTTTGTTCTGTACTGGGGATAGCAATGCTAAGACAACATTCAGCCATTACAAATGCCTGCCCTAACTTCAGAACAATTTGAAAGTTTCATCAATTCCAAAACTACAATGCATCACAAGTGTAAACAGCCCTGTAATAATGCCCTGAGCATCTATAATCTGATCATTTCTTTATTATAGGAGCCAAGATACAGGCACAATTCTCTGAATCTCTTCATGCTACCAAAACTTATTTAATGCTGCAGGGAGATCAAAGTAACACCAAAATATTTTGGAATAAGAACCTGAAAAAGCAGTAACTAGACAGAATACTGCACTGGTCCGTATCGCTGTCACAAAATGAGCCTTCTTAGTGGGGATGGGGGAAGGTAAGGAAGAGATCAGGAGAGAATTTCTTTGGCATGGCCAAGGGATACGACTATGCGTTGAACCCCATGATCTAGCTTGAAAGTGACACTGAATAAGAATGGCAGCACCTCCTTAGTCAGGAAAATTGCTCCTCACAGTATAAAGTCAGACTTGCTCAATTTTGTGACAATAACATGATTGACTGCTTTTTACTCCAACGAGTCAACACAACTACAGCTGGATTCTACGCTGGCTGGTGCAGAGTGGAACAACTGCAGGGCCAAATTCTTCCCTCTTTTATACTCATGCAACCCCATTCAGGACAAGGGCTACAGAGGTACCCTTGCAGGCAGGATGTGACCTGTCACTTTTGTTATTGGTGATGATTAGGGCCCAACAAAATTCACAGCCATGAAAAACATGCCACGGACTGAGAGATCTGGTCTTGTGTGTGCTTTTACCCTATACTATACAGATTTCATGGGGGAGACCAGCATTTCTCAAATTGGGGTCCCTGACCCAAAAGGGGTTACAGAGTTATTACAGGGGGGTTACAGGGTTATTTTAGGGGGCTCACAGTACTGCCACCCTTATGCTGGGCAACCGGAGAGCGGCGGCTGTTGGCCAGGCACCCAGCTCTGAAGGCAGTGCCCTGCAGCAGCAGCACAGAAGTAAGGATAGCAATACCATACCATGCCACCCATTCTTATGTGCTGCTGCATTCAGAGCTAGGTGGTCGGAGAATGGTAGCTGCTGACTGAGGGCCCAGCTCTGCACGCAGCAGCGCAGAAGTAAAGGTGGCAATACCATACCATGCCATCCTTACTCCTGTGCCGCTGCTGGTGGCGGCTCTGCCTTCAGAGCTGGGCTCCTGGCTAGCAGCCACCGCTCTCCAGCTGCCCAGCTCTGAAGGCAGCGCCGCCGCCAATAGCAGCACAGAAGTAAGGGTAGCAGTACTGCAACATCCCCTACAATAACCTTGTGACCCGCCCCCCCCCTCCCTTTTTGTGTCAGGACCCCACTGTGAAATTTCAAATTTAAATAGCTGAAATCATGAAATTTATGATTTTTTAAATCCTATGACCATGAAATTGACCAAAATGGACTATGAATTTGGTAGGGCCCTAGCGATGATAGCAGCCATCTTGACCTGCATATCCCCAGCTGAGTTTGCAGGACTGGCAATTAAGGAAAAGTTTTATTTGTAAACTGACTAAATAGGAGATGGATTCACCCAGACAGTCAACATGGAAGCAAATTTTGGTGCTAGGGCACCCTTAAAATCTTATTTGAATATTTTTAAAAAATTCTAGTACTGACCCTGAGAGGAAAAAAAACCAAAGTGCCATGGCATAAATATCCTGTGTTACTTATGTGCTCGATTTCTGCTGGAAAATTTGTTAATCGCTTGGATTTCTAGCACTAAAGGGCTGTTTGAAAATCACATCCTTAAGTCAAACAGCAGAGTACAATAATAAAGAAATCTATGCTATTACTTGCAATTTGTTTTGATCCTTTGACTACTACTGCTCTGCACCTGTTCTTTTAGAGATCAGCTGCCTTTGAACCTGAGCAATAGGGATGCCTAGAAACAGAAGGCAATTTTTTACTCTTGTGTAAGTGTAGTACTTCAGAAGCAGATCTCTCTCCAGGAGGATACCCTGGATTCAAGCATCATTAGGAAGCAGTTAAATTAAGATGGCAGAAAAACTGATTGAGTTTTTCTTACCATGATGAAGCAGAACTCAACCTGTAAGCTTGCTGACAAAGACTCCTGTACTACTTCTGCAGAAGTTATTTCAGGTTAACCAAGCAAGGAATTTAAAGTCTTATAATGTGACAAGTGTTAATACCACAGATTCTGGAAACTTTTGTTTGTTTGTTTTGAGAGTGTGGGGACTGGAGTCCTGATAGCTCTGCCAGAGGACTAAACGTGATGATCTTTGAGAACCACTGTTGTTCCTCATTTCTAAGGATGTTTACAGTAACTCCTGCTGTACTTCTCCTTTGTCTTATTACATATTATTGTATTAGAATACCAAGCTCTTTATGGATGTGCACTTCCAAGGCTTGCTTAATCTTTTTAAAATAACAAAAGCTCTACAAATTAATTAACTCTCCCTCAAAAAAAAGTTATTAATTGTACCTCTGAATTGAATTTGACACTACAGCTATGCATCTATTGCTTGTTACATTGTCCATTATTTAATGCAGTTGGAGTCTCAACAGCTTACTTATTTTAATAGAGTTGGTCCAAACAAAATGCATTATCTGTAACTCCTTGTTTTGTTTACTAATCAAACAAGCTTGCCACTTCTATATTCTGCACTCAAAATAATATGGAATTCTTAAATCAAGATTAAATGTTCTTCTAAAAAAAATCTGCTCTAGGAATTATTTTGGGAGTGTTCTCTGGCCTGTGTTACACAGGAGGTTAGAGGATCCCAATGGTCCCTTCTGATCTTTGAATCTTGAGTAAAAAAGCAGCTTAAATACTACAGTGAACGAGGTCTCAAGTGTGGAAGTGAGAGAAATAGCCAAGGACTCTTTTTTTAAATTTCCCAATGAGATTGCTCTTAGAAAAGCCTTCCTACTGAGTAAACAAAATTGAATTCCGTCTCACTGTTCTCTGGAACGAAAGGAAGTTCAGTAAAACACAACCTGCATTTGTGCCTGAAGTGATACCAAACCTGTAATGAGATGACTAGTAGTTTTTAATGCAAGCAAAGCCACCCTTGCATCCAGCCTCTCAACAACTAACCAAAGAGCAGCCCCTTTTTACACTTGCTTCAACTAGCAATACTGTACTGTAATAATCAGAAAAGGCTTCGCTCCAGACCTCCAAACTATAAAAAGACTGCATGCATCAGACTGTGATATTGTATGTATACTGTAAGCCTGCAGCCCGTTTTTGCTCATACTGTAAACTAGTCCCTCTATTTTAAATGCCATTCACTATATGGGGTGCCAAATGTCATGAAAGCTGGAGAAGCAACTGTACTGCCAAAGATATCCATCCATACAGGGGACCAATAAAAAAGGGGATTAAGAACATAAGAATGGCCATACTGGGCCAGACAAAAGGTCCATCTTGCTCAGTATTCTATCTTCCGACAGTGGCCAATGCCAGGTGCCCCAGAGGGAATGAACAGAACAGGTAATCATCAAGTGATCCATCCCCTTTCCCATCCTCCCACTCCCAGCTTCTGGCAAACAGAGGCTAGGGGACACCATCTCTGCCCATCCTGGCTAATAGCCTTTGATTCAAGTGACCCCATTGGTACCTACATTCATTTCGCCTGGGGGAGGGAGGGAACAGTTTTTACTTACAGGGCCGGCTCCAGCTTTTTTGCCGCCCCAAGCAGCGAAGAGAAAAAAAATAAAATAAAAAAAAGCCGCGATCGGCGGCAGCTCTATCACGCCGCTTCATTCTTCGGTGGCAATTCAGCGGCCGGTCCTTCCCTCCGAGAGGGACTGAGGGACCCGCTGCCAAATTGCAGCCAAAGACCCGGACGTGCCGCCCCCTTCCATGGGCTGCTCCAAGCACCAGCTTGCTGCGCTGGTGCCTGGAGCCGGCCCTGTTTACTTACCGGTTTTAAAATGTAAGCATGGTTTTGGTGGCTTGTGCATATAGGACACAATCAAGCAATTTGATTTTAAAGGTCGGAGTCACTGCCTGATTGCATCGGAGCATTCCCTGGCCCTTGACCTATTACTATCACTAAGAATGCTTAGTCACCATTTCTCACACCTGCTTCCCAAGCATTTACCATGTTTCAGAACTTGCTGAAGGCCTGGCAGGGTTTGGCTTGAATCTAGGGGTAATGCAAACCCATTTGATGAGCTTCTTTCTAGGAGAGACACCACAACTCTATTCTCTAACCTTACCTACCTACCTACAGGACATTTTTACAAAAGATTCCCAGTGTGGCCATCACCTAATCAGTGATCGCAAGGGTAGGAGCTCTAGGGGCAGGCTCTGGCAGATGATTTCATCACCAACTCAATTACATTTGTTCAGTTCTGGTCACCCTTTCTTAAAGGGCAGACAGCAGCGGGGGCTTAGAGTCATGCAATGAAAACTCTGAAAGGCCAGGAGTGATTCCAGAACCAGGGACTGCTTAGTTCAAAGAGTAAAGAGGAGAGCATGTGACCAGAGCATGTGACCAGACTGATGAAGAGGGGAACGTGCCCGTGGGCGGTCCTGGGCGGATGGGGGCAGGTCCATCCTGGGGGGGAACCGGCCCCGGAGGAGAAGGGCTGGGTCTGCGGCGGATGTGGGTGTAGCGGGAGGCTATCCTGAAAGATGGGGCGTGTTCGGAGAAGGGATGGGGGCGGGAACTGCGGCGGCTGGAAAATAGGGCGGGATTGGGGTCCCGGAAGGACGGGCTCGGAAAATGAATCGGGGTCGGGTTTGCGGTCCCGAAGGACGGGACCGGAGAATAGACGTGATCGGGGTCCCGAAAGACGGGGCGGGGAACCGGAGCATGGGACCGGGAGGGGGGCCGGGGTCCCCGAGGGGTTGGGCGAAGGGGGACCCGGAAAGGGGTGGGGCCGGCCCGGTACCTGGGAAGCTGACCAGCGGGGTGGTGTACAGGGTGCCGTTGCCCACCCGCGGTACTAGACGCAGGCTCAATATCTGCTGCAGGAGCCCGCCCGGCTCGCCACTTTCCATGCCGCCGCCATTAAAGGCACGCAGCAGCCTCGGCGCCGCACCTGAGCTTGCCTATCGCCTCCCGGAATCCGTCACCCCGCCCCGGCGGAACAGACGGCTCTGTGCTCCAATCGCACCGCGGCTTGCTCCTCGGGTCCCGGCTCTCACCATGACAGACAAGGACCTCCGCCCATCACCCCACTGTGCCTAGAGGGGCGGGACGCCGCTCGGACATGCCTCCCGCCCTGCCCTGCCACTCTCGCAAATGCGCCCCCTGCGGGAGGAGGGCGCCGCGCACCCGGCTCGAGCCGCCTTTCTCTGTGCGTCAGAAGCTGCTCCGTGCTCCGGGAGTGCCGGGAGGGAGCGGGCGGTGTAGCCCCACAAAGTGCTCCCCTCCCCTTTTGCTACTGGGAGCGGTTTCTGCCACGCAGCGTAGCAGTTTGGTAAACACTCCCGGTCTGCTTCCTGGGGGGGTTGCAAAACGGGAGGGATGGGGTTGTGGTGGAAAACACTCCCGGTCTGCTTCCTCTGGGGGGATGGTTGCAAAAACGGGAGGGATGGGGTTGTGGTGGAAAACACTCCCGGTCTGCTTCCTCTGGGGGGATGGTTGCAAAACGGGAGGGATGGGGTTTTGTACCCGCACGGGGTCTGGCAGTGTCACCCCTCCCCCGCTTAACCCCGGCTCTCACCCCCCACCACCGATTTTTGCCCTTCAGACCCTCTTCTGCCGCTTGCACCCGAACGTTTTACGC